GGTTTAGGGGTTCACGGTTTAGGGCTAAACTTTTGCCCAGGGCCCTACTCTGAAATCTCTTTGATATAAGCCCTCAAACCCTAAATGTCGTCGTCTGACATTGGGATTGGGCTGTCGACTTCCCGACGTCACAGGCTTCCGATATGTAGCGCGTTTAGGGTTTTGGCTTAAGGGTTGTTGGGTTTGTTTGTGGCCATGTTATGTTGGAAGCCATAACTCCCGCTGTGATGAAGACTCCTGATTTGTAATAACCTAAAAACCCCCTTTACCTTTGCTGGGGATCCGAATATTAGGGCTCCTGAAGAAAAGGAGTTTGCTAATCAGGGATCGACTTTAAGGATTGAACAGCCCCGGGCTGTATGTGTCCGAAGGTTTAGCCAGGCTGGAATGACGTTGTGTTTTGGGGTTTAGGCTTTAGGGTCATGTTGTCGTTCATGCTTGGTGCGTTAGTCTTGTTGTTTCTCCGATGCCAATTTCGAGAACCTCGCGAATGCCTCATGAGCCAGGATTTGCGGAGTGGCCGCAACCCCAATGGCCTGAACTTGTACATACCCAGGCGGTGCCTCGGCGACGACTACCCCTTATCCTAAGCATTAGGCGGCTACCCTGAGGGTGGACGTAGTATAGTCCACCGTACGCACGTACATGCATACCTCCCAGCCTGCCTACTTGGGCCTACTTACTGTATGTTCGTGCGTACACATAATATAGGAGCCTGAATAATTACCTAGACTACGCTGGGAGTTCCTTATTATATCTACAGTATAATATACCCAAAACCCCCAGTATTAAGGCCCCTACATTACGTAGTCATGCAGATGAGTATGGTTTTGGAGCTGGGGGGGGGGGGGGTGCTGAGCCTTGAAGAGACTACTAGGAGCAAACAATCGCAATAGTAATCCGGTACCACGCCTCTTGCTATTCTTATTACTATTGTTTTTGTGGTTGTTTTCTCTTGTAATTATGGTACTATTCATATTCTTACTAATTCTACGATGGCAATTTTTATCATGTTTGATTAGTAGTAGTAGTAGTAGTAGTAGTAGCAGTAGTAGTAGTAGTAGTAGTAGTAGTAGGAGTAGCAGTAGCAGCAGCAGCAGCAGTAGCAGCAGCAGCAGCAGCAGGCAGTAGTAGTAGTAGTAGTAGTAGTAGTAGTAGTAGTAGTAGTATAGTCGTCGTCGTAGTAGTAGTAGCTTCAGA